GGTTCTGTGGGCGTGGTCTAATTTGTGGGTGTGGCTTGGTGGTCATGGCTTGTATGTAAATATTATAAATATTGATATAAATATTGATTTTTTTTTATAAAAAAAGAGCAACTTTTACCCAAAACCAGGCAAAGCAGGCAGGCAGATTGAGTTGCTCACAGAATCAGATTCATTCAGAAATCTATCTATCTGCCATTGGCTAGCTCAGTCTGTCACATAAAATTTGCTAGCAGGCAAACTCACAAAATTAACTCACAACACACCATGCATGTAAATATTGAATTTTTTATTTTAAAAAAGAGCAACTTTTACCCAAAATCAGGCAAAGCAGGCAGATTGAGTTGCTCACAGAATCATTCAGAGATCTATCTATCTGCCATCGGCTAGCTCAGTCTCTCAAATTTGCTTGCCGTGAGCCTGCACTGAATTTGCTCGCAAGCAAACCTTCAGTCCTAAGGGAGGTTTGGCTGTGCTTAGCTAGAAAGCAAGATATCCAACCATTTCCTGCTTCCCAGTTAATCTAAATTTCCTGGCACAGCAGAACAGATGATGGTCGGAAAAAGAAAAAATAGCAACTTAGCAGACACGTTTGCCTGGTAAGGAGTGAGTGGGCAGGGAGGATTCCCGTGGGCCATGTGGGCAACACAGCCTTGTGTTTCTGCGCAGCCTGGCTTAATTGCTTTGGCAGGGTGCTCTGGGGGTGACATTTCTCTGCGGCCCACTAAAATTTTCTCGTGGCCCACCGGTTGGTGACCACTGTTCTAGTCCAACCGCCTGCTTAGGCAAGAAACCCTACACCACTTCAGACAAATGGTTATCCAACATCTTCTTAAAAACTTCCAACCTGGTGGCAAGTTGTTCCACTGATTTATTGTTCCCACAGTCAGGAAATTTCTCCTTAATTCTAAGTTGTTTCTCTCCTTGATTAGTTTCCATCCATTGCTTCTTGTCCAATCTTCTGGTGCTTTGAAGAATAGCTTGACTCCCTCTTCTTTGTGGCGGCCCCTGAGATATTGTAAGTTGAGGACTGCCTGTATAAAATTTAACAACTGAGAAATGAGGAATGACGGAGAAGCCAGAGCGAGCAAGGAAAGAAAAGTTGAAGATACATTTAGGCATTTAAAAAATAATAATAACCCGACTCCGTCTAAGGGCCTGTTCAAATCTACAAGGCCCATACAAAAGCATTTTTAAATCCTTAGTGACCCTTTCTTTAAAACCAAGCCAGGCCGAGCCTCAAACTCCCTCCCCCCCCATAGAAACTCCCATCCACCCCCCCAAACAAATTCTGCCTCCAGTTCCCTTTTCACATGAGACAAATGATTCTGCTAAGTGGAAGGGAGGGGATTTTAGCACATTTTTAATCTCTTCCAGCATCCCGGTTCTCACAGTGGCCAGCCAGATGCTTCCATTTTTGAATGCCGTGGTTTGGCAAGTGGGTCAGCTTTTGATACACAACCACGGGCCAGCTTTGTGTTCAGTGCAATTAAGAACTTCACGCTTATAAATTTTCCAAAGAAGGCATCGTTTATCATGTCTCATTCTAGCAGTCTCTAAAAATACGTTTTCAGCCATGAACGTTTTACCTATAGTTATAAAAATTTGATCTTTGGTTGGGCTAACTTTCAAAATAAAGTGGTCAGAACGGACCTTTGTAATAAAAGGATGAAGACAAGATAAAGATGTGTTTTTCAAATTGAAAAGAAAACCTGTGGGATATTTCATAGTTTAGCCAAGGTATCTTGGTTGAAACTTCAATTTCAACATTCTTTTTTTATTCAAGAAAATCTATATATATAAAAGCGAAATATCACTCACACTTCATCACAAAATTACCAGAACCATAATGCCTACAAACTTGAAATTTGGCACCTATGTTACTCTTGGCTTCTAGGTGCTCACTAAGAAAGGATTTTTTGAAAAGACCATCAGAGCATTGGTATTTCCTATATTATTATTAACACACTCTGATGCTAAGGAGTCCTAAACACAAGTAGAGGAGAGGAGTTTCAGTTTCAATTTCACAGCATCAAGCAGTTTTAGTACAGGACAGTTAAGCTAAGCCATGCCCAGGCTCCTTGCTGTCTCCTTCTTGCTCACACAGAAAACACTGTATCACTTTCCAAACAGCCCTCAACTATCTCACGCACTGGCAGGACGCTAGCCAGATGAATATTGATGGATGCTGGTAGGCAGAGGCAGAATTTCCCCCCTCCCCCTTATTTTCCTCCCGCAAAACTAAGCCCAGCCACACAGTTTTCTAGCGAAGCACGGGTATCGAGCTAGTATGCTATATTGTTTTTTTTTAATTGCTGTTTTTAGCTCCTGTATTTTTGCAGAATCTGTCAGATTCTGACAGGAACTTCTAGACTGGGCTGAATTGAGAGAATAGATGGAGAATCATTTTGAAATGAGATTAAAGAGATTATTGGCCTCTTTTCTGCCGTCTGAGAAATTCTGGGAGTTGAAGTCCACACATCGTAAAGTTTCCAAGTTTGAAAAAAAAAAACCCCACTGATCTAAATGGACATGCGTTTCGAAAAGAAATCCATTTGAAAAATCCATTGCCATGCTTGCAAATTCAACGCTGGCTTCTCTGTTGTCTATATAGGCATAGCGTTAGCAATAAACTGCTAATGCTGTGCCTGTGGAGTGCATGATGAGTCCATTCTAGAATGACATATTTATTCTGGGATGTTGGATTTTGGTTTTTTCATCTCTCAAGCCAGAGAGCTCCTTCACCCATTTCCACGGCAATCACCTCCTCAACCAGCTTTACACAAAAAGTTATCATAACCACATTTCATGTTATATGCACTTTTCCTGACATGTTCTTTTCACAAATTTCTTGTAATGCAACTTTAGAGAGCAGTACAAACAGCATTTCTAAGAGTTTGATTTATTTTCCATTCATCAAAACCCTTTGCTTGGATAAAAAAAAACTGAGTATACGCAAGTCCAGTGAAAAGAAGGACTAGGGGTGACATGATAGTAGTATTCCAGTATTCAGAGGGTTTGCTGCAAGGAAGAGAGGCTCCACTTATTTTCCAAAGCACTAGAAGGCGAAACAAGAAACAATGGTTGGAAAGCAACCAAAGAGAGAAGCAACCTGGGATTAAGGAGAAACTTCCTAACAGGGAGGACAATTAACCAGTGGAACAGAAGTTGCCTTCAGAAGTTGTAGGTAGGGGCTTCATCACTGGAGGTTTTTAAGAAGCGACTGGACAGCGGTTTGTCAGAAATAGTATAGGTTTCATGCAGGAGCAAGGGGGTTGGACTAGATGACCTCCAAGATCCCTTCCATTTCTTACTGTTACTGACTCTCATAAAACATGGCTTGCTTTTCTGAACATAAGGAAAAAAAACATGCAATCAATAGGCTGACCAATATACTTAATATACCATGAAGTTATTAAAAAACCTTGTGGAACAGCAGTGTGCCTTGGCTTCTGATAGGATATGAATTCTATTCTATTCTATTCTATTCTATTCTATTCTATTCTATTCTATTCCATTCTTCCATTCCATTTCCTAATTTCTATTCTATTCTATTCTATTCTATTCCATTCTATTCCATTCCATTCCATTCTTGCATTCCATTCCATATTTTCTATTCTATTCTATTCTATTCTATTCTATTCTATTCTATTCTATT